TCCTCCTTCTTCCCCCAAACTGAGGGCTGCCTGGGACTGGTTCGAGAGGAGCCTCTCGCTGTGGGGCCGGGTCCCCTGCCAGGCAGTGCCGGGCACAGCCTCCGGGAAAGCTCCTCTCTCTGCTTCGTCCCGCAGCCCTGCATCCCGCAGCACACCCCGGTTTTACTGGCACCCCTCCCGATGCCCACGGGGGGGGCGATGAGCCGAGTCCCCAGGGACCTTTCTGCCGGGCCACCGGGCTCCGTCCTTGGCCAGGGGGCATCAGGGGCATGCAGGGACAGCCCCGCCGGGGCCGGCGGAGAGGAGAGGAGCAGGAGTCTGCCTGGTGTGTTGCAGTGCTCGGCCACCTGCGGCGTGGGTGCGATCTGGAGGATCGTGCGCTGCAGCACCGGTAGCGACGACGGCTGCGCCGCTGCGAACAAACCCGTCCCTGCTCGGAGGTGTTCCCTGAGACCGTGTTCGTCGTGGCGTGTGGGGAACTGGAGTAAGGTAAAGAGGCGTGCAGCCGGTAGGGAGGGTCCCGAAAAATCCACGGAAGAATGAAGGGAGGTGGTGCCTGCCCTATGGCTAGAGCATGACCTGCTCTCGGGGCGCGCTCTTCCTCATGGCTCACAAAGGCAGAGGGTAAAGATTTGCCCCTACCACAGAGTTTAAACTGCTTCATCCCACAATAATCTTTTCATTTTTCCTGCTCTTGGGCTGGTTAGAAAGCCAGAAAGTTGCAAAAGCTAAATAAAGAGGGGTTTGAAAGTTTCTGGAAAACATTCTTGCCAATCTACACTACCGGGGGTGTTTGCAGTTGGGTTGGGTGAATCCAGCGTGTGCAATGGTGGGGAGCAGCCCTCCTTGCTCTGGGTGGGTGCCGATCCTTGGCCATGCAGATGGGAGATCATCAGTTGTAAGGAAAGACTTTGTGGCTGTTACAACTGGAAGCCGATTGCTTTCAGAGGGAAGTTGGTGACAGATTCAGAGCTGCATGGACTTTTCTCTAGCTTGGACTAGAGAAAAGTGAAGAGAGGTTGAGTATGAACTCAATCCAACCCAAAGCAGAGCGTGTCTCTGGGGTCTCCCAGGCCCGGAGGGATTCCCCCTGCACT